GGAAAGAGAGAGGGAGAGAGGAAAAGAGAGAGAAAGAGAGTGAGAGTGAGAAAGAGAGAAAGGGAGAAAGAGAAATAAAGAAATATTTTTTATTTAAAAAAAAAGAAGACAATATGATTTTTTTATAGACATAAAACTTTTTTTCTAACTTAGGAAGTTGAATTTTCACCTTCACATAGAGATGTTTAAGATTTTTGAGAAAGTAAAAGTATTTTATGTAGCAAATATTTTCTTAAAATAAATGATTTTTTTTTTCTCTCTATATGTTTGTTTGTTTGTTTTTTAGAAAGAGTAAATTGATAAATTGTAACTAATATTTTTTAAAATGTACTTGAATGTAATTTGTTAACCTACTTTAACTTAAAAAATAAATAAGTATAAATTAACAAATACTTATAGGACTGTTAATATATACGTGAAGTGATATCATATTACGTAAAATCAACAAATCTATATATAACTTAATAATTTGCATAAATTTAAAATAAATTAATAATTTATTAACGCATTATATTTAATCTATTTTAAGTTGGTCTAAATTTAACTCAACCTACAATAAATTGAGCCAACCCAAATCCACAACCTTATAGATAAAGCAAGCTAGCTTTTGTGTTAGACAAGTAGTTATGTGATAAGTTTGCCTATTAACATCAAAACACTTCAAAATTAATTTAACTATAATTAATTTTACAAAATCAATTTCATCCAAAAGTAATTTTTGCAAACACTCAACTAACAATCACTATAAAACATACCCTAGTACAAGAAATCTGATATAACAGTGCTGCATAGATTGAATTTTTTCCTTTAGTGGCAATCCAGCATCCAAATGAAGGAGAATGTCCTTTTTAAGTGTTGCAGCACGTGCACTTTGCATTCAAACATTATGAGTTCTTCTTCTTGATTCTAAAACCCTATCCCACAACGGCTGTTGTCTTGGTTATTTCTTTTAAGTATATAAAATTTATTTAAATAATTTAAAAATATTTTTTTGCCATAGAAGTCAGTATAATGAAACATAATAAATCCATGTCACCTATTATGATAAGGCAGTGTGAATTGTGGCGAAAGATTGTTTTTATCACAAATCTAAAATAGCACACCTAATACATAAGGTTAGAAAAGAAAAAAAAACATGTTTTTCTTGGATCTTTCATATAGTAACACAATTACACAAAATTATTGATTAGTAATTTAATTTTAATATACGTCACATATCAGAGTTGTTGTCATTTTTTTTAAAAAAAATAGGAAGAAGATTGCTTACATCAAAATGGGTCACTATCAGCAACGGTGAAAATTCTCTTCCTCTGAGCCAAGTTATCTACTTTGTCTTTTCCTTTGTGTCCAAAGACATGAATCAAAATTTGCGGATTAGCTTTGGTAGTTTGTTGTCTGCTTTCTCTGTTTAGTTTTTCTGAACGGAAGCGAATGGTTACTTAATTGCATCTACCACGTTCATATCTCAGTGTAACAGGACCTCAATAACTTTTATATTGTCTTTCACATCTTTCTTTACTGCTTCCATATATTGAATCATCATCATTCTCCGTATACATTTGTGATGCTACTTGAGTGCTGAAAGATTATCTTAACCATTTGACATCAACCAATTACCCAATGCTGCATCATGCAACACCCCTTGCTTGTTGAAGTGTCAAGCTTTCAATGGCTATATATGGATAATGGTACGATTGGAAGAGAATGTTCCGTGAAGCTAGTCAGATCAATTGGGACAATTGGCCATCTTTTTTTTAACCCTTTTCAGAGTTTATTTTAATGCTGTGCTTGTCTGTTAATCATTATTATAATCTTTTTAATTATATTACTTATTGTCTTTACTAATATATAATATTCGTTATGAAATCAGACTATTTTTAATGAGATTTTCTTTTTAGTTATGATTTTTTTTCATAGAATTTGATTCCAAAACTTTGTTTGAGAAAATTTAATCTAATTTCATTTGAACTAACGATTTGCTGATTAATCATTCCTATATAATTATATATTAATTTTTAATACTTAAAATTAATTTATTAAAATTTGATTTTAATTATCCATTTTAAAATATATAAAAACTACAACAAAAAAATTAACCACCAAATTAGGTCTAATTTTTCTGGGACTAGGTTAGATTATTTCTTGTAAGGAAGAAAAGGTTTTTAAAATTATTTTATATGGTAAAAATTATAGAATATTATTTCAGCTGATTGACGTATTATGCAAATGTTTTTATATGAAGTTCAACAAAACTATATTGAAAAGGAGATTAACTCACTTCCCAAAAATAATAAAGTCTATTTAATAATTTTATTTTCTCATAAAAAATAAATTAATAGTTCCACACATAATTATCTTACCATTGACTTTGAGTAACACCATTCTCTGGGCTGAACCTTGAGGCCTGACTGTCTCACTATGCTGATTAAATCCTTTAGGCCCAAAAATTTTAATGTGCTAGTTTTAGTCTTAAATCTACTAATTATTAAAAAAAAAAAACAGATTATATCCTCCACACTCATCTTCTACTTAGGAGGATCCAAGAATAAATTTCTATTCACCAAAGTATTAGTTATACATAATATTTTTTTATCAAGAAAATATATGTTCTTATATAATATCAATATACTTATAATTTTTCTTGGTCCTAACCCCCTCCCCCCAAACAACCCCCCAAATAAAAAAAATAAAAAAAGAAGAAGAAAAGGAACACTGGAAAGCGACGGTTTGTCTCACTCTATGGTCATATATCATAATCATAATGAATATTTTATTATATGCCTGCAAAGAGGACACTTGTTAACTCCGATGTAAAGCTTCAGAGTACTTGTTCTTCAAATTTTAGCAACAAAAAATGTAGTATTTGTAATAGAGCGTCAAAGGCACATGCGACTTGTGGGGTTTTTCTCTTCTATGTGATGGTCACCACATGCAATTATGCCGACAAGTCGTGACACGTATCTCTCATCTCAGCTCATGTTTTTGTTTTTATGCTCCATATCATGGGCTTCACTCCCTTAAAACCTTCATTGCAAATACATATATATCTCTTACTATTATTTAAACCTAGAACCTACGTTGTTCGTCATTGATTATTGGTGGTTATCTATATCTGTATATGTTAGAAAAAAAAATCTTTTGTAGAATCAAATGTTTAATTCAGTCTAGTTCCAAAGTCCAATGGTGGGAATTTAAGTAGATTCACCGGAAATGGTTTACTTATAATAGCGTTAACAATTTACAACCTACATTTAAAGTTTTTCTTTGTTTTGTTTATTCAAGAAAGTCATCAAACCTAAAACTATACATCTCTTTACCAAAGTCAAATAAAACTAATGTCTTACTTAGATGATGTATTGCATCCTTGAACTTTACTAGTTGATTTAACAATGCCCTTTTTAGCAATTGTTCGAAATATGTCAAGGGAGACCACTAAGTTGGTGATGCAACAAGTCAAGGTTGACAAAAAAAGAATTAAGATTTCTGGAAAACATTCTCATACTCAAGTCAAATTATTCAATATTAGGTGATTCAACATAATTAAAAAAAAATTAATTATATATACAAGTTAAAATACTTATATAATTTTTTATAGTTTTACTTACCTTATCTATGAATTTTATAGTTTAAAATAATTTTTTTTAGTTCTTATACTTATCTTTTAAAATCATTTTTAAGTCATTATGATTTAAGATAAAAAAAATTTAATTTTTATATTTATATATATTTTTTAATCTTTTTAATCTTTATTGTTAATTTTTTTTATAAAGTTATCATTATGTGTTGACGTAATAAAAGTTTTTAATTTTGCAAGGATAAAAAAATTGATATTTCAACAAACAAAAAAAATAATGTTACAAAAAAAATTAACAAGAATTAAAAAGACTAAACAAACTACAAGTTTAGAAATTAAAAAAAAATTAAATTATAAAAACTAAAAAATATTAAAAAAAAATAAGTATACAATTTTTAAAAAATTTATTTAAAATTATAAGGACTACAAAATAAAATAAATAAAATTATAAAGATTAAAAAAATATTTTAACTACGTATAAATATGATGTAAGATGTAATTTATAAACTCTAGTAAGAAACATAAGGAAAAAAAAAGTTATTTTCTTGCACTACATGGACTTGCAATATTATCACACACAAGACACAAGTAAGTAATTATGTATAATGACAAAATCAATTTATATGTGACCATGTCTATTTATAATCGATGACCTTATTATGGATAAGTCAGATTTTTTTATGTTGAGGCCCATCAAATGTCGGTATAATAGTGATCAGAGTCGAGATCTAATGGTTTTAGGCAGTCAGTACCTCAAAATATTGATAAAGTGAAGTCGAGTTATCAGAGTAATTTCAAATACTGAAACCCAGTTGTTGGTGCTCACGTGAATGAACATGAAACACAATCATAATGCTCAAAGCCCATGCATATGCCATGCTCTTTCGATGTCCTATTGTTACTCCAACATGTCAGTTTCTAAAGGTACCTCTTTTCTTTTTCTTGTTTTCCAATTTTAGATTTGCTGGTGTTTAGTTAAACGTCAAGGACTTTTGTGTATTTGCTTGAGACATTATCATTATGTGCCTCGTGTCAAATCCATGTGAATAATTTTGATTGATTAATTATAAACTGTACTATAATTCAGAATTATGGTCCCTGTCCTTGCCACAATAGAAAATTGCATGATTCTATGTAGGAGGACGATTAAATTTGCATTGGATACCTTGTCGGTTCAATTAACAAATAACAAAGAGAAACGCATATGTATTAATTGGGTCCTGCTACGAAATTATAGTATGATTCCCTTTATGTATACAAGTAGCGCTATTACTAAATATATATTTTATTTGCAAGATGGATATAAATTATCATATTCATTGATTCATCTATATCACCAAATTTTGGTGAATATATATTTTGCGAGATTTTTAAAAGTTTTAGAGAAACCAATCTCATATTGAATCATGTATAACTTCTAAACTAGATTATTGTAATAACAACTTTTATCGGTTAAGTGTAATTAATTATGAATAGGAAAAGGAATCCAACTCAATTTCAACCATATACACCCTGATTTTAAAGAGAAGAACGGTGTCAACCAAACTATAATCTACAAACATAAATAACATAATTGACCAAGTTATAAGTTATTTTTTTATAATTAATAAATTATAAACATGTTTTGGTAAAAAAAATTTATTAGAAAGATAATCTAACAAGAACTTAAAGTCAGAGCATTCAAGTTTGTTGTCATTCTTATCATAAGATTAGAGTCTTTATACTTGATCATTATGAATTTATAGGTTTTTAGACAATATTATATTATATTACAATATCATGTTCATTATAACTAGATTGTGTTAGATATGTATATTTTATCAATGTTATTGATCTCTTATATATATGGATTATATCATGTCACCTCTTGACTAAATACCAATAGGGCATACTTGTCCTCTAATGCCAAGCACATGTGAGCGAAGGGACTACCATGACATCTCTTGACCAAATATTGAAAGGGTACACTTATCTTCCAATCCTGAACATAATAGATGAAGGAACTGTCACCACTCAACCAAATAACCACAAATGATAAGTTTAATACTACATGTATTATATAAATGTATATTTTAAGATTAATATTATTTATATAATTTTTGTTTTTATAAAATTGATGCACTATATTTTATTTCTATTACTGCATATTATATTTTTTATTTTATAAGAGAAATGATAACGTTATCATGATAATTTTTTTTTTATTAACTTGTATACAAAAATGAATTAATTTAAATAATTTTTAATTTAAAAAATGAGTAACTGGTGGGTTGGTCCAATTGACCTGTAACGTAACCCATCATGAAAGATGGACTTGGGCCAGCAAAATTATAGTCCAGCAAGAATAGGTCATTGTAATATAATCCAAAAAGGTTTTCAACTGTAATGGTTCAGCTCTAAACGGAGTTTTATAAAGTGCGAAAAAAGAAAGAAAAAGTGCAGTGTGTATGTGTTCCGTTCCGCTACCACAGGGCTAAAATGGACCTTTTCAAATTTCATTGATGTGGCGGTTGAAAGTAGTTGCAGATAACAGTGCAAAATGCAAATATGCGATGCAATGCAAAACTCGTGTCATTTCTCTCTCTCTCTCTCTCTCTCACAGTGAGAAGCCATGGGCAACACATCCTCCATGCTCACGCAATACGACATCGAAGAGGTTCAGCAACATTGCGAAGACGCTTGTAAGTAACCGAACCAAACAAACTCATCATCATCCTTCAATTTCATTTTCATTTTCTTCGCGCGCGTGTGTAGTTACGCAACAAGAGATCGTTTCTCTCTACAAACGCTTCTGCCAGCTCGATCGCAACAACTGCGGTTTCATCCCTTCCGATGAATTCCTCTCAATTCCCGAATTCGCCGTCAATCCTCTCTCTCAGGTATCTCTCTGTATATATATATAAATAGAAATGAACGATTCAATTAAATTGAGGTGTTAATTAGGTAATATTATTATGGCAGAGTTTGTTGAGGATGCTGGATGGGTTGAATTTCAAAGAATTTGTGGCTTTCTTGTCTGCCTTCAGTCCTCGTGCTACTGTCCATCATAAAATTGAATGTAACAAATATCAATATCACAATTATCAAATGCTTTTTTTCTCTACATTCATGACGAATCATCATTTCGCCATGCTTTTTGCAGTCATTTTCAAGGTCTATGATACCGATTGCAATGGAAAAGTGTCCTTCCATGACATGCTGAGGGCTTTAAGGGATTTGACTGGACCCTTCATGTCTGAACAACAAAGAGAGGTCACATCATATATACAATATACAATTACTACTTTCTTTTGCTCCCGCATTTTATATTGGAATCTTTTGATCATTTGGTTTCACAAAAGTTGTCTTTGTTCTTGTTACAAATAAGGTTCAATTTTTTTGTCCCTATACCTCCCCTTAGTCTTTATAGTTTTAGTTGCTCTATGTAATTTTTTTATGTTAAATTTTTATGTCCTCTATTTTGTGATAGTTTTATCTCACTAATAACTGGTACTAAAATATAAAAAGTTGTTCGTATATTAGAACTAAAATGTAGAGTTTTTAGATATAGGAACTAAAACAAAAAGTTGGCGCAAGTTTGGGTCAATTGATTAAACCTACAAATGATTATAAAAAGGGTGAAATATGTTTATAGTCATGTAATTATTTACTTTTAGCTTTTTAAAAAATTAATCTCCTTTTTATTCCTTTTTTATGGAAATGTATCAGGTTAAGTTTTATCCTTTCCATAGTGAACACTGTTTGTAATAGGAAATACACATGACACATTTCCATAACTAAAGATAAAAAAAAAGGTTGATTTTTTTAGAGACTAAAAGCGAACACTATTCTGTTTACAGAAATTAAAGATATATTTAACCTTTATAAAACATCACTTTATTTTCATTTTGTTTACTTGTGTTACAAGATTGTACAGTAAATGGAAACAAAACACCATGATATTTTTGTAATTATTTGTACTAATGTGGCGTGAATACATTTCTCAAATCAAGGAGTCTCTGGCTCTTAGCCTTTCGCTATCACCTTCCTAGTTATCTACCAAACACAGTGCTTGTGTTCACTTATTATTCTGCCCCACGTAATATCATGGGAAACACTTGACCGGCTACTGCTCACTTTTGTTCCTTTGAAACTAAGTTTTGGAATTGGATGTTTCAAGGGATCAACAGTAGCCAATAACAAGACTCGATATTAAAAAGAGTATGGACCACATAAGCTGGAAAACTAAGCAAAAGACAATTCAAGAGGTGAGATATAGTTTTCCTTGAGAGCTTGAACAGCTTTACAAGGCTCTCAACTTCTAGGTCCAATTGCATTTTTCATCCTTTTAAATGTAAGGAAAAGAGTGTTTCCTAGCTTCTAACTGTATTATCAACTTCTAGGCTCTCAACTCGATATTAGCCAAGCAAATTATTTACATGAAGTGTATTATCAGTGTGTATTTATAATTGAAAACATAAATAATGTTGATGAGAACAATCATTTTATTGGAGGATATCAGTTTTGTTAATATTGTTATTTCACATTCAGTTGCCAAAGATGAAGGATGATGTGATCTGCTTATAAAAGCATCTGATATATTCTGTTTCCCTTGTACATACAGGAAGTTCTGACACGGGTCCTTGAGGAAGCTGGCTATACAAAGGATTCTTTATTAGTCTTGTCTGACTTCATGAAGGTACTGAAACTAACATGACTTGCTTCAGTAGAAATCTTAAGATGTTGTATTTAGATAAGCATTTTAATTGGCGAGTGACAACTAAGGGATAATGCATCGAGTCTTTTATTATTTTTATTGTTTCTCCTTCATATCTATTATGGTCCTTATGCTCTTATAATTTATGTCAAAGATATGGAAAGCCTTGCCAGAATATGATTTTAATGCAAGTTAGGGCTTGAACAGAGATTTGAGGAAGGAAATTAAGTAACAATACAATGATGAATTGATGATGTCAAATGGGAACTCTATTTTATTGATTTATCCTGTTAATTAGTAGGCAGATTTGTCTATATGACTGCATATATATTAGCTTGCAGTGGCAAGGTCTCTTACCTTCACTGCCAATGTGTTAAACCAATAATAATATCTTCATTAGTTCATTTGGAACATAGGTCATAATTAGCACATAACTTATGCTTGTCTTGGTCAATGGGCATTGAATTTTCATACTCATGACTGTCTGAGGGTCATAGAACATAATTCTAGCTCATGATTGTTTGAGGCTCATATTTCTTCATTGTCATGCTGGTTTTATACCATGCAAACTGAACACTGCTGTCAGCTTGATATTTGTTAGTGTGTCATCTTTTATATGAAAAATGCTTGACAATCCCCTTTTGCTGATAGATTCTTGGCAATTCGGGTTTGAAGATGGAAGTAGAGGTTCCGGTGGATTAGAATGAGGATAATACAATTGCCTTAAGAGTATAATATACAAAAAGAAACTTGATATCATACTTTCGTTTGATCTTCTTATTTTTTAGAACTTTTCTTTGAGTTTGATGACGGAAATTCTTGGTTCTGGTATTTAGTTCTTCCTCTTAATGGGTAATAGATTATTTGTTGTGTTTAATTACTGAGTCAAAATTGTGGATGATATAATTTTTAACAAATGCTATCAAAATTGAGTTTCTCTATGAAGTTTTTGAACGTTTGATAATTTTTACTTGTTTTGAACTAGATTTGAAAGATTTTATTTTATGTGACCGACTTAAGGTTTTATAATTAAGTTCGTGGTTTATTTATTTTATTGAATTGCACTTTTAGCACTATAATATAATAATTTTCTCTCCACGATTAATTTACAAATATCCAGACCACTTTTCAGGTAAAATTTTGCAATGCAAGTCTTTACGGTAAGCACTAGGCAATGTAGTAACTACACAATTCGCTCAGCAGCATTCTAATAAATAGGAACGACATTATTACTTTATTAGAGCTACATAAATTTCGAAAGTATGTTAACCGGTTAGTTATGTTTATTGTAAGTTTTATAAAGTCCAAACTTTAATGAAGTACTTAGCAAGTATATATTGAATTATTGATAAATTAATAAAATGGTGCATTATTAAGTTTTTATATTCTGATTTACGAATGCGTAACCCTGTTCCCTTTCTTAATGAAGAAGCAAAAACCTTCCAAGCATGTCCTTGTCTAGTATATATAATGTTGGTTGGAATTTATTATCAAATTACACATCAAAGTGCGACTGAAGTAAATACTAATGAGAAAAACACCCATCTTTGGTACAAATAAATGATAAGTACTCAGGAAATAAGGAAAGTTAAGTTTTTGAATCTATCTATTATTATACAATCACGGAAGTTTCTTACCACCGTTCACTAGCTTCTTTTTTTTCATCGGTTATTTAGGTTAGTTTGTCTACAAGACTCTCTTTATGTGACCAAAAAATAAATTTCACTAAATATAACGGATCATAAAAATTAGTAAACTACATATATTTTGTAATTCATTAAATATAATGGACTAATTAATTTGGTAAATTATATGTCTTGACCATAAAAAGTATAAAGTATTTGATATATCGATTTTCACAGTTAAAAATATTGATATATATAAAATAAAACTTCAAGAAATTAATCATACTCAAAAATATGTTTGTTTATAATTTTTTTTAATTTACTATTGTAATTTCATTAATATAAACAATGTAACATTTTAGAAAAAATGTGACTCTAAAAGTAATATAAATATAAGTATTTGTATCACATATTAAAAAAATTTATCCATCGTTAGAGAAAAAATGGGAGCAAATTTATTATTATGATAATTTATAGAATTTTAAAACACGGAATAAATGAATATTTTTCAATAAATTTCATGATAGCCTCTTCATTAATTTTTATTTTTCAATAATAATAATTACTTAAAATAATAAATATTACTATTTAGTTTCTTAAATATTTATCACACATTTATATTAGCATTGTTGAGTTTACAAAAGAAAAAACATAAGGTGGCGAATGTAATTGGGTAAAATTTAGCAGGTAAAGGAAAAAAGTTAAAAAGCGGTGGATTTGAGAGAAAAATAGGGTAAAATTTAGAATATTACGCGTCATTGTTACCAAGAATTGTGATCTGAATGTAATGAATATATACATAAATAGGTGTAGATATTTATTTAGGGTATGCTAGATGAAATAAAGTTACTTATTTCTAATTGTAATAGATATTGTGGATATATAAGTCATGCGCGTGTTGGAGTTGAGTTGACGCATTTGATGATGATTCGCACATCATCATCAGGTGGTCGAGGCTGTGCCCCGTTGTAGCCGTTGGAAAAACATGGTTTCGTCTCCAACAAACCACTTTTCGAAACCCCAAAAAGAAAATATATAATCGAAAAGAAGGGAGCAATTGCAGGATAACAAAAAGGACATTCAATTCATTATGCAATTGCAACATAATAATACCAACACACAAACGTTAACCAACCATGATTCTCTCCTCTCTATAACTGTACCGCATAACGAAACTCACTCTCTGTCTTTTTCGTCGTGATTTCGGTCACCTCAGGCTCAGGGTGCCAAACTCAAACCCCAACACACGCAAAGGTTTGATTTATTTCTTTTTCTTCCTTCACTTTTCTCAACCTTTCTTTTCCAATCTTCATACATAGAGGAAAACAAATTTAATTAAATTTTAGGTATATTCGGTTATTCATCTTGTTAGAAAGGCGTTACGGTGTTTTTTACGGTTATGTAAACCGCGCTCTTTCCAAGTTCCATATAGAAGAATTTCTTTGTTTTCAATTTGTTCGCTATATCAGATACGTCACCTTGTTCTGCTTTCTCATCAATTTTGTGCGTGAAGGTAAATAATAATTATCAATGACTTGTTTCTGAGTCACAAACAACACGTGGAATAGAACAAGGTCATGTATCTCATTATCATTTTTGCAGGTTATATGTATTTAACTATTTCTTTTGCTCACATACCTTAGACCCATCGTCTTCATTTAATAATGAAATTGTTCAATCGGAAAAGAAGAATTCTACCCCTTGCATTCTTTCTCTCATACTATGGTTGTGATGAAAATTTGCAATTGCTACATTTTTGGTTCAGGAATAGGTGATTGCTTTTGCTTCAACATTTAATCATCAAATATTGGAAAGCAGCATGGCTGAAAGTGACATAATAGCCATGAAGGAGACCCTCCGTGCCCAGCAGCAGCTTCTGCAGAAGCTGTATGCAGAATTGGACGAGGAAAGAGAAGCCTCAGCAACTGCAGCCAGTGAAGCCATGGACATGATTCTGCGTTTGCAAGGTGAAAAGGCTGCGGTGAAGATGGAGGCAAGTCACTACAAGAGAGTGGCAGAGGAGAAGATAGGCCATGCTGAGGCCACTCTTGAAGTTTTTGATGAGCTCATGTATCAGAAGGAAATGGAAATCGCTTCTCTCGAGTTCCAAGTCCAGGCTTATAGAAGCAAACTTCTGAGCTTCGGGTTTGATTTCAATGTCAGCGACTTTGAATTCACTGATGACATGTTGTTGAGTAAAACTGATCAACCTAACGGAGAAAATAGTCGAGCTAGTAGTGTAAGAAGGTTGAGTTCACTGCCCCCTATTCCTACCAAGAATAACTTGAGATCTGCTAGGAAGAGAGACAGATCAACTAGTCCTGTTCCAATTCTAGATACGTGTCCTAAAATATTGGACAATGAGGACCAAGAAGTTACGTCTCCATCCATGGATTTGCCAAGAAAATCAATAGACTATGCACATGGAACTCTTGATGCATACTGGAACCAGATCAAGTCGTTGGATGAAAAAGTGAAAGTATTTTCAGATTGTAAAGAATCAGAAGGAGAAAAATGCAGCACGCTGAGGAGTAGAAGAGGGAGATCATGTTCAATATTTTCACAAGTAAACTCTAAGATAGCCTCTGACATATCAGAGAGAGCATCCCCTAGTGGTTCAGATAAAGTAAATCACGGCGAAGGTACACAAGATAGAGAATCAGCTGCTACTCCCTCTAGCACAATTAATGTTCATGATGTATTTGAAGTACCACAAACGAGTGAAAAGCATAGAGCCAGTAGTGAACTTGGGAAAATAAGGCTTGAGAGATGGAGTTCGGATGCGGATAACAGGTTAACAAAACCAGACTCGGTGTCTGAGGAAATCATTGAATCACATGTTAAACATGATATACAGAAGCTAAAGAGCATGCTTAGTGGAAACCATGAAATCAAATTACCGAGTCCCAAAGACATGAAGACCCTTGTTTGGCCCAAAAAAGAAGAGGGGGAGACGGATTGCAATGTTCAAGCTGAGTTTCAAAAGTTGCATCAGAGAATTGATCAGCTTGAGAGGGAGACAATTAATATAAGAGAAGAGATTAAGAATGAAGTGAATAGGGAAGAGTATTTGAGGTTGTTGAATGACATAAACAGTCAACTAAAATTAGTGCAAGCAGAGATGAGAAGAAGCTGGAAACCCCAAAAAGCCCCACCAAAGAAGGATGTTTCTTTGGATCCTCTTAAAGAGGTAATGTATACTCTAGTGCTTTTTTGCCTTGTCTCTTGAGAAGAAAATTTTCTGTTGTTTGCAAATATCTCCTTCATTTGATTCTCCATTCTGAGGCTGGTAGTTTTTGTTTGATAATAATAATATTATCTCCAGCCCATTTTATAAGAAAGAAGTGATAGTGTAGTTTACATTATTATTTGTTTCTTATAAAAAGCATTGGTGGTAGTATTACATTTGATAATGAGAAAATGGGATAATTTGGGGCAACTTCTGTTTCTTGAATTATTTGTGTTGTTCTTCACCATTGAAATAATAGGTTTCTTCAAATTTCCTTGAACAGGCAATGGTGTACTTCTGGATTTGATCAAGTAAATGCATAATGGCCATATCAGGCAACCAATTAACCGGGTGCATCAATGTGTCTCAAAAGATTATGCGGTATAGGCAGGTAGATAGATCTTCTAATCCGAATTTTGGTTACTGAAGAATGTATACCTTCTCAAAATTCCATATTTTACAAGCGGCACTAATATGACGGGGATTTGAAATTCTGTGTGGTTAACTGTGGGATCTTGTAATTTTTTCCCAAAGAATATACACAACTTAGTGAATTAAAAATGTCTAATAAAATTAATATTTTAGCATGTCTAATATATAGACTAAATATTTATTATATAATTAAAATTTATGATAAATTATATATCCAAATAAATATTATATTTGAATATATAAATTATATTTAAAATTTTTATAAATATATATTTTAATATAAATTAAATTTTAGATTTATGATAAATAATTTAAATTGTAGTATAATATTATTTTTATTTATTAACAAATCACTTAAAAATAATAAAATTTAGTTCATATATAATTACGACAAATAAAAATTAAATTAAATAAAAAATTAAAAAATATTCTTAAAATTTTTCTTCTTGAAAACAAGTTGCTAAATATGCTATGCACAAGATAAAAGTTTATTTTAATATATAGATGTTGATTATTTTGTTTTTTTTATGCTTATGATCGTAGTGAGTGAAAACATACTAGTGTCTTAAGTTAGTCCTTGCTTTTATTTTAAAAATAGAACTTTCATGTTTATTATCTTTTCTTAACTTGATAATGATGATTATGTTACAAACAAGAGAAAATTTATGAGGTCTTATGCTATAGATGTACCTATCTTGAGCGTACTTTCCTATTCCCTTCTTTAATGTCTTTTTTGTTGTTCACCTTCAAATTGGTTTCCTAATAATAGTGAGGGGATGTATTTGTAAAAGACATTCCAATGCTAATAATAAATGAACGATAATTTTTACCTCAATATACAATATTATTTATAATAATTATGTTGGACTCAAATCTCAATGGGTCTTGGTTTAGGGTTATCAATTAGGTAATATGTCTATTAATCTGAATACTATTGTGGTTAGGCTTAATTAGCTTGGTTATTTTGTGTATGATGAGTAGTTGCTTGATACCTTCACCTATCGGATGTATTGGGCATTCAATAGCACAAGGTATTAGTAGCCGAGAGTGTCGAATGGATGTTGATCATACATGTTTAAGTGTATTGGTGTCCAAGGATGTTGAACAAGTACTTACCATACACGTTTAAATGTATTAATATCTAAGGATGTCAGACGAATATAGGTCATACACCTTTAAGTGTATTAGTGCTCAAGGGTGATGAATGAGCATGGGCCATAGACGTTTAGGTGTGCCAGTGGTTGAAGGTGACGAATGACAAGTCACCTCTCTATTCTTTATTGACTCAGCTGGTATCTTCAATTGCCAAGGGGGTTTAAGCATCTGAGATTGTCGAGGGATGTTTGATGGTACCGATTTAGGGTCATGTAAGAACATATCCTATATAATAGATTTATCACTTCCTTGTCTTTCTCTATGTGAGAATAACCATAACATTAATTTTTGAATTTGACAATACTTTGAGTTCACAAAAATGGATATATATATATATATATAGAGAGGAGGGTTCAAATGACACCAGTGTAACTTTTACTAAGTATTACACCGCTTAATAACTTTATATTAAATATGAATTTTGAAAATTCAACCGTTAGATTGAAAGTTCATATCTCTTAGATCATATATGTCAAATTTTGTTAAAATTGAACAACAACTTGAAGGTAATCAAAGTGTTCATATTTTAGTATATTTTGAAATTTATATATTACGCCAATTTTGTTTTATGAGAATGAAGTATCAAATCATCTTAGATTAATATAAAATTTGACATATATGATCTAAGAGATATGAACTTTCAATCTAACGGTTAAATTTTCAAAATTCACATTTAATATAAAGTTATTGAGCGGTGTAACACTTAGTAAAAGTTACACCGGTGTCGTTTGAACCCTCCTCATATATATATATAGAGAGCATATCAAGTGAGAGAGAATTTATTATGAGAGATGAGAGAGTTAAAATATAACCCTTAGATTAATCAAGTGAGAGAAAATTTGAGGTTTAATCAAGTGAGAGGAAATTAATCAAAGGGTTATATTTTAACCCTCTCATCTCTCATAATAAATTCCCTCTCACTTGATATGCTCCTTTTATATATATATATATATATATACTGAGATATGCATGTATAAGAAAATGAGTTAGTTGGATTACCCGAATCAAGTCATCAATTTACATACTTAATTTTGTAAATCCAACAAGATTTTATTGATTCTTATTATTATGATTATGACATTAAACTAATATTTGAATAAATTATAATTCTTTTTTAATTTATTTGATTGATCAACTTAAATGTTGTTCATTTTTATAATATTTTATAAAAAAAATTGTGAGCCAACTTTTTGGTTGGGATTAACATGTTTAATAAATTTTTAAAATAGGTCTATCTCAATCTTTTAGTTTCATCGGATCTTTCGATGTGTATCCTACGTAACATAATATGTGACAAATTCATTTTTTTATAATGTAAATAGTATTTTCTATAACACAATATAATCACTCTTTTAAAATTTATTTTCTGAAGTTTTGTTCACTCTTCCAGAAAATAAATATGGTCACTAGAATCTAAAAATAGTTTGTTAACGGCTTTACTAACAAAATTAATGCACGAGTCTTGAAACCAAAACACAAGGGTGTGCAAGTGTGCAACGCAAGCGGGAGAGATAGAATGGAGAGTGCGAACTGTGCGGGAGCAGGGGGGAACAAAAGGCTTTTTTTTAGTAATGAAAAGGTTATTTATGTAAATGTAAATACGAAAAGGAAAATAGAAAGTGCATTTAGCAAAAGGGAGAAGTGTGAATAGCAAAAGCCTTTGGATATTGTTATGTTTTCATAAGGGCCTTGGAATGTCCAATCTAGTCCAAGCCCATGTTCCATAACATCCTATATCTTTCATGCTCTCTGTCTTTCTCCTTTTTTCTCTCACTCTCTTTTTGAGTCTATTAAAGTTACACGATGCCATTGAGATGTTCCTTAGTTTCACTTGCTCGTTCGATTTTTACCATTGAATTAACGTTTGGTAACATCTGAACATATTCGCCATCCTCTTTTCATGCACAAAAGCTGAGAAAATTTTCACCCTCACCCCGATGATGATAAATGTTGATGTCATTTGTTTGTAAATTTGTCACCTTGAGAGAAAATTAAGTTAATAGCTAATAATCACAACATTTAGCACAAGTCAACTGTTCAACATGTTACATGAAGGAAAGATAATGTGTCAATTAACCCGTTCTTTATTTCCCCCTTGGCAGTTGTGGTCTTGTTATGATACGAGATAATAATAGCTTTACATATATAAATTAATAATCATGTGCATAGATACCTAACTGGGTCCCTATCGATGAGATTTTCAAGTACCATAAAGAACAGGAGCTCCTATGCCCTGGTGCATGCACCTACCTACCCTTGTTTATTTGTTTACTTCAGCTTGAGAGTTGAGACTGCACTATTTTTTATAAGGGAATTGTTGCATCACATACCTTTGTGAATAATGAATCAACTTGCCATTAAGGTGAACGTGGGGATTTAAAATGGTGGTAGTGTTTTGTGAACAAAGCTTCATTAATTAAGTAATATGGTACCCTCTTGGAAAATCCCAATGACAATTTTCTTTTTGGGGTCACCAGTGACTATTTCAAACCACCTAAATGGCCCTAGAAGATGCGTGCACACATGGATTGTGCTGCGATGGTAAGATTTAATTAAATAAAGTTGCTAAACAATCTATAATGAAATGAAATGTCTAAGGCAAATATGACTTGGAGTATTATTGGTATTTTACCAGATAGAATAATGTAGAAACATCTAAAGTATGAAGTATATATCTATCTCCGAGTACGTTTGTATTACGGATCTCCCACTCCCCTGCTGGCTGCTGCCGTTTATCTTGGCAACCTTGTATATTAGTTTTGCTTTTCTGCTTTAGAAGTGGAATAGGAACAGAATTGTGCGTTTTGTAGAATACGAGTGTGCGTGTTTGAATATATTTACACTCCAATTTAAACAAAAAACATAGAAAGATGGATTCAAGTTAAGTTCAGCTGAGTGAGTTTACAAACACACATGTAATGTGCGTTTGTTTTATCATATTTATACCTTTGCTGTAAACATTCTTAAAAATAAAACGTGATTGAAAAAATTTAATAGATTGACGTTTAACGGAGGTCCAATGTGTATACAAACACACCTTAAATCTTGCTAATACAACAATTCTCTTCACCCTTAATACAATTTTCTACTTTTCATTTTATTGGTTTCTGAAAGTATGCCAGATGATATGACGTTAGAACTCCTCTTAATTTATTTTCCAATATGCACTCTATCACCAAGTAGCATTAATAGGTAAACGTAAAAATAATTTTTCAGCTTATAAAAATATAAATAACCCTTGGATTAGCGGTTTATTCTTCTCAAAAGAAATTGAGTTGTGTGTGTCCACTTTGGGCACGGTTCAAAAGTTGAACTTTTCTGTCATTTTTCTCAATTTCAAGCACTCAGTGCTATGCAGATCAAATAAATCTGCAAAACATCAATTGGCTACTCATTAAAGTTTTTGTCATGGGTATTACGTAATTGAACATTGGAAAAATAGCACAACCTTTTTGAAGGTCATGGGTATGCATGACGTAATTGAACCGAGAAATTATTATCTAATATGTAATTTAGAATTATTAAATATATATAGTACTAACTAATTTTTATATAATATGTATTCAAAATTTTAAATTTATTTTAAAAAATTATAATATTTAATTATTTATAATGTAAAAATTATTTAAGTAGCATGTGATATAGAATGGCTTAATAATTTGTCGCTCACTCTACAGGCGGAGGAGTGACCAAACAACATTAATGGAAACTTTTTGTACATGTCCTAGTTTTCACCCAAGAGGTACAAATCTTGAGAATTCAGAGTTAACCCTAGTTTGTGATGAATTACATCCACGTCAATAAATTAAATAAATTCTTTCAAATACATCTTTAATATTAAATCCTTGCAACTTAGTCACCGGCCTCGCGTGTACCACCTATCCTCGAATGCAATCTCAGTAATGAAGGTGTTGGGATTTTATATAACATGGTCAATCAGGGTTGGCCTAGTATGTAGATAGTTGGGGTAGCAAGCATGAGTGCAACTATATATTGTTATAAAATAAAAATAAAAATGAACCATTTCATTAGTTTCATAAGCGATCTTTATTCTATAATGGTGCAGTTAGGTTTTATGAAGCAATGATACATATGGGTTGGATGTTGGGTTGTTAATATTAACAATGTAGGGATGTTGTACCCTTAAGTGAGTCTAGTAGATCCTGAGCTCTAGAGGAATCAAATTAAGGTGAACATCGATGGAACTATTTCAACTTATATATAGCAATAGAATGAAATTAAAACTTATCCTTATCGCCATATCAGATTACATGACGTGATAAAATAGTCAAATTGTATATATATCCGTTTAAAAATGTTTTCAGTTTATATATTATATTCTCTCCCTTCATGTTAATTTAAGGTTGTTGCAGACGACAAAGTGACGACATTCATTATGTAATCTTGCTTCGGATCTCTATCAGGTCGACAACTTAACCTACCATTACCAATGCAAAAAATCTTGACACAGTGGTTTTCTTGTGCTAGATTAATTAATCATCTGTGCAATCTGAATAGGATTCATATTTGAGTTCTTTTCTTTATAATGTCCACTCCATAACTAGTTAACTACATAAAAGGTAGCCAGAAAGAGAAATATATTATATAAATATAATCAACTTGAGTAACTGAATAAGAGAAGTGATTGATCAATACAGATATTGACCCGCATGTTTCACTGAACATTACAAGTTTACAACACAATCATTTCAACTCGCAACTCAATCGAATTAAATGAAATAAACAATGACTATGATTTACTTCAAACACTAAACTTACAAAAACCGACAATAAAACGTGTAAAAGAATGTTTCCTTTCCATTAATGAATGAAAATTGAACTCTTGGTGACTAATTGTTCTCCACTAAACATTATAGCTTAACTAGTTTAAAAAATATTTTACATGTTCCAAGTTTTAAATAATTTTAATATCCTTTTTTTTTCTAAATTAAATTACATTCTCTAACAAAAACAATCTTGTTTGAATAAGAAAATATTATTATGAATGATAAAACTTTCTTTTTGAATATTTAACACAACGAAATATTTAGAACTTGAACTCAAAATCATTGATTAAGTTGAAATAATTTTTTTGAGATTAAATTATCTTTATTATTTAAGAAAGAATCAATGTGGGGATTGACTTGAATGACGAGGCAAGGTTGACTTAGTAAGGTAGTCCTTCAACCTACCCATCTCTTGTGCTACATCCAACATGGTTGGTCTTGTTGAAGGATTATGCTGTGTGCAGAGAAGCCCTAGCTCAATGAGTTCCAGAATAACGTCTTTCAAAATTTTGTTACGATGATATGGTATGCCACAAGGAGAGAACCTTTGCAGTGTTTGTTCAACAAGGTTTTGAAGTTGGTGTTGTTGTGTGTATTGTCTCTTAATCCACTCACACAAGCTTGAGCCTTCATGGCTGAGGACATCTGTGGGGCGTCTTCCTGAGACCATCTCCAACACAAGTACTCCATAACTGTACACATCACCCTCAGTTGAAGCATGCTTTCCCATTCCGTATTCTGTGTTCATCAAAATAGAGTGAGAGAATATAGCGAGTTCTACAACACGAAACTGTTTAACATGCAAATAGCAGTTATAAGATGCACACTCAAAAGAAAAAAGTCTTCAATGTATGTAATCACGAATGAAGGCATCTTTATTTTGAGGGGAAAAACTCATATTTTTACCATTAGTTTAAATATTTTTATACTCTTAACAAATAAGAAATTACACTAAATATAATTTTTAAAGTGATTATTAGAAAAATTAGCGAATTATGATTGAAGGATAATGTAATCAGAAATTAAATTCTTATAAAAATGTCATGTTTTCGGTTTATATTTTGTTTTTAAATGTTAATATAGAAAAATAACTTTAAAATCCTATGTTACTTCGAAAATTGAAGGATCTTTAATAAAATACTTTCTTCTCTTTTCTCTTTCTCTTTCTCTTTCTCCTTCTTAATTAGATTTATTTGGGTATAACAAATATTTAATATTTTAACTTATGTTTTTACTCCTCCAAACTTGAAGTATATGTCTTTTTCTTGAAAATTTAAAAATTATATTTTGTCTCAAAAATATCAAAAATTTATTAATTATTTTGGTATCTCAAATTTAAAATTCATCATTTTAGTATATAATTTCAAAAATATTGTCTTAGTTTTTGTATGTATTTTTTTATCCCTCAAATTTAAAAAATATATTTTTAATTCTCAAAATATAAAAATTTATTATTTTAGTCTCTTTGCCCAAATATCATTACTAAATTAGTCGCACAAAATTCTTTTATTAGTATTATTGTAAGTAAAAACAATATATTAAATCAAATGATACTACATAATTATCTTAATCTGTTATTATCAATTATGTTATTAGTGACTATGAAAAACTAAAATAATATTTAAAAAAATACAGGAACTAAAAAGATAATTTTTTTAATTTGAGAAACTAAAATAATAATTTTTTATTTTGGGAACAAAAAACATGTGTTTTAAATTTGAAAGATCAAAAAATTATACACAAAAAACTAAAATAATATTTTTTGAAATTACAGAAACTAAAAATACAAGTTTTAAATTTAGATGATTAAAAAAATAATCATTCTAAATTTGAAGGACTAAAAATATAATTAATTTTTTTTTATATTATTTTTACACTTTTCTATATAAATATTTATATATAAATAGAAAACAGAATTAAAACGAGATGACATTTTTATAATTAGAAGAGAAAACTAAAAATGGAAATAGAAAACATAAAATATTTTTTTTTTTAAAAAGTCTTATCAACCTTTTTCTATTCCAATTATTCAGCTTAGACAGAGTTTACCAGTTAAAACTGATTGTAGAAAGTATTTCATAGGCCAAAACCATGACCATAGTATAGAAACATATTGGATCACAATTCACAAAGTACATACATACCAGGAGCTATATAACCAACCGAGCCACATAACAAACCGTGTGTTGAACTGAATGATGCTGAGTTACTTGTGGAAATATTCTCATCACTATGCAGAAGCCTTGAAATTCCAAAATCAGTAACCAAAGCTGTCATATCTTCATCAAGGAGTATATTACTTGGCTTAAGATCACAATGCACTACTTTCACTGGAGAGTAATGGTGCAGATAGGAAATTCCCTCAGCTACATCACTGCAGATTCTTACTAACTGAACCACATCAAATCTTTGGCTTTGATATAGGTGCCTCTCAAGGCTACCATTTGGCATCAAGGGAAAAACAATGGCATTAAATTCTGGCCTACAGCAAATTGTGATGATCCTTATCAAATTTCTGTGCCTTATCTTTTTCAGGATTTGACATTCCCTTCTAAAGCTCCTTGACATCTCACCACCTGTTGTATCCAACACCTTCACAGCTACTCTTGTATTATCATGAAGCATTCCTTTGTAGACCTGTCCAAACCTGCCTGAACCAATTAAGCTTGAAGAACTGAAGCCTCCAGTGGCTTCTCTAAGTTGTCTATATGAAATTCTAGGGTACTTGAGCTCTTTTGTTCCCTCTTCATTATTCTCCAAATCACCTCTGCTAACAAATGAACATTGCTTGGTAACTTTTGACTTGATTGCCATTGAGTACCTTAAAAACATGCATATGAGAGGTGTGCCAAAAAGTAACACAGGAATCAACAAGAACACCAAATGATAACTACGTTTCTTGTGACATCTTTGCATGCCTTCAAAAGGGCCACATAGACCACTATTTCCAAGGAAAGAGTCTATGGTAAGATTTGAAAATGCTCCATTATTTGAGACATTCCCTGAGAATTTGTTGAAAGAGAAATTAAGTTCCTTGAGAGAGGAAGACAACTTAAAGGAATCTGGTATTTCCCCAATCAAATGATTTGAAGACACATCAAGTGCTCGAATATAGAGCAATTGGCCTAAAGAATAAGGGAGAGAGCCTTCAAAGGAATTACCAGAGAGGTTGAGGTACTCCAGTGCTGTGCAACTTTCAAGTTGTGGTGGAATGCTGCCAGAGAGATTGTTCTTGGATACATCAATAGATAGCACCATGTCCATTTTGCTGAGTTCTAATGGTAAAGAACCATGTAAGTTATTGTTTGATAAATTCAAGTATAGTTTCAAGCTATTCAAGGCTGCAACTTCACCAGGAATCAACCCAGTTATCTTGTTGTGAGATAAGTCTAAAATCTCCAAATTGACACATTTTCCCAGACTTGGTGGGATTGTTCCAGAAAGCTGGTTGTCATAAAGTAAAAGCCTCCTTAACTGTGAGAGATTTGCAAAACTATCTGGTATTGGACCAGATAGCTTGTTTCCTGACATGTCTAGAAGCCCCAGATGCTGATTGTCACCAAGGGTTGAAGGTATCTCACCAGATAGTGAATTGTTTGACAAATAAATTCTTTCTAGTCTATTCATGTGGGAAAGGCTTGAAGGGACTGATCCATTTAATAGATTATTGGACAACTTCAAGAAAGTCAGATTGACAAGGTTAGAAATGTGTGGAGGTATAGAGCCATATATGAGATTTTTTTCTAGGTGAAGTTCTTTCAGGCTGGAGGGAAGATCACCAACATTATGAGGCAGCTTCCCACCAAGATTGTTTCCCGCCAATTCAAGTTCTTCAAAGTATGATAAATTCATCAACGAAGCAAAGAAAGGTTCAAGGTTGGTATTACCATCATGGCTAGCAAAATTGTTGTATGACAAGTAGAGGAATTGTAGTTGTGGCCAATTATGTACAATCTTAGAAGGAAGCTCTCCACTGAACATATTCAACCCCAAATCAAGCCATTTAAGCTTGGTAGAGTTTGAAAGAGCTAAAGGAACTTGGCCTACAAGCTTGTTAGACCAAAGTAACAGGTACCTGAGCTCTTTAAGGATACACTCATTGTTCAAGGGGATTTGTCCCCCTAAGGAATTATTAGAGAGGTCTACATAGCTCAGTGAAGTTCCATTACAGAAAAGTGATGGGGGAATCTCTCCCTCAAGATGATTGCTTCTCATGTCAAGGTAGTACAAGTTGTGAAGTGAACCAAACTCTGAGGGAATGTGCCCTTCCAGAAAATTCCCCGACAAACTGAGTTCTCCAAGGTGAACCAAATAGCCTAGTTCTTTTGGAATGTGACCCACCAAAAAGTTCCCAGAAAGGTCAAGAATTTGCAAGGAAGAGATGTTGGCAAGAGCAGGGGAAATGGTGCCTCCTAGTGTCCTTCCACTGAGATCAAGCTCTATGATGACGTCACTTGCATTGTTGCATCTTACACCTGACCAATCACAAACATGAACACCCCGTGACTTCCAACTCTCTAGAGCGTTTTGAGGGTCTGAAACAATGCATGACATGAATGAAATAAGTGAACTTTTTCCATTCACAATGCCACCATTTTCTTTCCCATATACAGTCTCCAGAAAGAAAAATAGAAACACTGTTAATCTAATCAGACACATCATGAAACAATATATGTTTTGTCTAGTATCAAAAAGAAGGAAAAACAATAACGTTGAAAAGCAAAGAAAGATGTACAGGAAGTTGGTGTAAAATTAGGCTCAACGTGTCTGAATAAAAGGGGAGCACTTAGGATTTAAAGGAGACATTGGTGATGGAAATTAAGAATCTGAAACCATGTGCCTAACTGGCGTTGAAGTTTGATGGCTACGATATTTGACTTTGAAATTGACGTATAGAGAATTGACACGAGAGCAACGTTAGGGGGTGTTTAGCAATAGTGCAGCACAAGAAGCCTAACATTAAGTTTTTATTAATGAATATGATATGATATGATTGAGTTAAAGTAGTGGATGATGTGCTGTTAAGAAGGATAAGATTGGTTAATAGGCACGCACGCCTTGTGCTGACTGAGAATGTTGATTTTGGTGTTTGTCGGCTGAAGACCTGCACACTCATATTCATCCATTTCAGCTTTGTTTATTCATGTCAAATGAACACTACCTATGCCAACGGTCACGGGACGCCGCGAATTGGATCTCTTCACTTTAATGAAGCTAGGGATGAAACTTTCAAGTTAAATTTTTGTTCATTTTTGCTTTAGTTTCTAAATAAGATTTTGACTCAAACTTTATATCAATATTAAATTGAAAGTTATAATTTGCTTGTTTCACCCAATTGTCTTTCAACAAATTTACTTAAAGATTGAAACAGATTTCCATCGTTGATAATACATACACCTATTGTTTTTTCCCGCCTTTTTTCCTTTTTCATTAGATCATATTTACATTTATTTTACTTTTCTTCTATGAGTATCGAAGAGAGATTTCTTAAGTATCCAATAGAGTTTAATGTGTATCAAACTTAATTTTTCCCTCTTAGATTTGCAGAAGCTTTGCGAAAACTGCTCTACCTTTGTTTGTAGGTTTAGATAGGATTTAATCTCAGAGCAAAATTTCAATTTGATTTATATAATTTTTTTTTAATTTGAAATTATTATTTTTAATTTTTATTATTATGTGATCTCTTTAATTTTTTGGCCGAATATATGATCCTTTTGATTACTTATTTATTTATTAAAAGTTAAGTGATTATTTTAAGTAATACTCACAAGTGTTTATAATATCATATTAATGTGTGATATTTTTGAAAAAAATTATAATTTTTAAAATAAATATTATTTATTTATCTTAAAATGGAACTAAAAATAGTGATTTCAAATTTTTTTAGAGTTGAAAATAAAAAAAATAAATTATTGAGACTAAAATAAAAAATTTACTGACTTTACAATAATCAAATTTCAAATTTTAAGGAGATTAAAAACAAGAAATTTTACTTACCAATACCAAAATCAAAAGTCGTTGATTTCATAAAAATTAAACGTTGGATTATTAGAAATTCGTTAATTTTATATTAGAAGAAAATAAAAATATTAGCAAAATACTCTCGATGGGTTATATAATTAAGTGAAAAATACTAACTAAACATGCACATGGGTGAGAAAGATTCAACAAATAAATTAATATCATCCAAAGGCTATGCGAATGCGATTGGGGAACCCATCATGCTAGTTTCAGACATTCATCAAATTGTACTTTTTAAATTGCAAAAAGAATAGTCTTGTTATATATTATAATATATGTAATTTAAATATATTAAAATTTATATGATTACAATATTTAAAGATTAAAATTATATAATTATAATATTTAAAGATTAAGATTTTTTAATTAAAATTTAAAAGATCAAAATTACACCATCACAATAAAATTAAAATTATTTGATTAAAATTTTAATTATTAAATTTAAAAGAAAAGAAAAATAATATAAAATTAAAGAAGAAATGAATAGAACAGAAGAAGGGAGTGAGGAGGGGTTTAAGGAAGGTTTGATGTTGTTCCAATAACATTGTTTCAACTTCAATGTCGTTTGCAACTTCGTTTCCCACCCCTCACCTTCACAGGGGAACTCTTCAAACAAAATCTCAACCTCTTCATCACTCTCTATTGTTCGTAACCCCCATTTCTTCTATTCCACTCACCATCAAAAAACCCAGAACTCAATTCCATCTTCTCTCTGACTCACTCCGTCACAACTTCCTCCAAAACCTCGAAAATTCGCACGAACCCGTTAATGGGGTTCCTCAAACAGAGTCCCCCGACCCACCCCGGAGAATACTCATCCAAGACCCACCTTGGATTTTGAACGACCAGTTGCTGAATGATATCGAGGAGGAAGAAAAGCAGAATTTGCTGAGGAGGAGGCAGATTGAGGCGGAGACTGAAGCATTGGAGAAGATGGTGGAGGAATACAGAGAGCTAGAGAGAGAAATGCGCGAGAAGAATCTCACTCCCAATTTGCCGCACGTGAAAGCTCTGTTTTTGGGGTGGTTTGATCCCCTGAAGGAGGCCATAGAGGCAGAGCAGAAGTCACGGAAGTCGAAGAAGCACAAAGAGGCGTTTGCACCCCACATTGATTCCTTGCCTGCGGCTAAAATGGCTGTTATTGTCATGCATAAGATGATGGCTTTGGTGACTATGGAGTATCATCATGCTGGCTGTGTTCTCCTTGTGGATGCTGCTGTTCAGATTGGTATGGCTGTGGAACAAGAGGTACGTACATTACATCATATGATATTCTCGTCGTTATCAACGTTTTAAATTGCGGTAGCAGTAGTGGTTATAGTTGCAGTTTCATCATAATTCTTAATGTTATTGAAAAATGCGTTCAATGCGGCTACAGTTGCGGTCGCAGAGACTTCAGAAACCTTGACTTTGTGGCCAAATTCGCAGTCCATTTGTAGTAGTACTGAGTAGCTATAATGATTTTCGTTTTAGCCTTATTGAAGTTTAATTTAATACTTTATTTTGTTTTTATTAGTGTGTTGGTTTTTTTGTTCACTTAGTGGGATGATAAGTCTTTGTTGTTGTTCATCATGGGTGCCAAACTTTATAATTATTTGTCATCCTGTTAAGACAGATAATAGTATAATGATAAGCTGTGAGGGACTTCCAAATGGCCTATTGGCATGTTTTGCCACCTGTGGCCATATCTTAATAGTTCATCAGTGGTTTTGCTGTGCATTTTGAGTGGTGCCTTACGTTGAAGTTTTCATTTATGTTTTATACTGGACTCTTGGTCTGATAGTGCATTTTATGACTTTTTATTACTATTTTCACTTGAAGTTTCTGGCATTGGGAATGTAAGTGAAATGAGAGAATGTTCGTGGTAACTCAACACTTTAGTAATCGATGATATAGTTTGATGTTCAATCCTTTGGTTACTCTACTCCTTTAAACTTGTAATTAGTACAAGTGCTTCTTGTCTATGAATTCTCACACATCCAATTTTACCACTTGGGCAGGGAAGATACTGGTGGGGAATTCTGTTTCATTGAAGTTTCCTTCTATGTTCTTGCGTCACTTTCTTGATTGCTCTTGTGTAGTCTAGCATTAATAGCGATGTCAAATAAGAAGGGCACCCTTTTCTACTGGTTCCACTTCTTTTATAGATTGGATATCTGTTGTGATTATCTAGTTGTACTTCAGGTTAGGATTCATAAGTTCCTGGAAAAGACTAGAAGTCACCAGAATAAGAAAACAGAGGCTCATAGTGAAGACAGTATGGGTAATGATAAACAAAAATTAAGGAAACATGTAAACAGTTTGATTAAAAGAAGAAGACTGAAACAGGTCCAGTTGCTATTGAAAGAGGAAGAGTCTGGCCCTTGGGGTCGTGATACACAGGCTAAGGTTGGTTTTAATGTCTGAGAGTGATTATCTTTGACTTTTTTTTATAAAAAAAATGGAATCTAATGAGTGAACTCTATGAATCTATGCAGTTGGGAAGTCGGTTAATAGAATTATTAATTGAAACAGCATTTGTGCACTCTCCGGTTAATCAGTCTGCTGATACCCCACCTGATATTCGACCAGCATTCAGGCATGGATTTAAAGCTGTATCAAAGAATCCAGAGTGAGGCTTAATCTTTTTTATTTTTTTTATTTTTATATATATAAATTCAAATCAATATGATTGGTTTAATAATTTAGGGCCTTGATCCTTAGCACATGGTGCTATTATATTAGAGAAAGTGGTGATTGTCTGTTTATTTGAATATGATGCTTTAAATCAATATTTGTCATTGGAGGGACTGATTTGATATGATGCTTGTATATAATTCTCTCCCCACACACTTGCTTTCCCACAGGCAAACAGATGCCAGGTACCTTGAAAGTTCAAATTAGAAGGTATCGTGATGAAGTATGGTTGGCCCTTTGCTTAAGGAAAATGAGAGAAGAAAAATCCCACATTTAAGAGGGACTCAATATTTCACATGTATTGCCTGATAGATCTATTAAAATTTGAACAACAAAATACCTCTGAAGATTAGGTGTTTAATGATTTGATGAAAGTGGCTTTATTTCACCCTTGTGTTTTTCTTGTTATTTTTTTTTTAATAACTGTTTGATATTTGTAGGCAGAAGATTTTGAAGAATTATGGTGTTATAGAATGTGATCCCTTGGTTCTTGCTGGGATGGATAAATCTGTAAGTTGAGAAATCTATTCCCCGCCTCTTTTTATTTAACAATATAATATGATGGCCGCTTGGAAGTTGAATTTGTTCTACAAAGTTGTAAAGATTTTCGCTATAGCTTACTAAGCATGAAAAGGAAGCAAATTCATTATTATCTCTTACAATTACAATATTGTATAATCTTCTAGTAAATTAGTTTTTGAATTTTTTATAACCTCCCGTCCCCTAAAGAATTTGCATTTAGGTTGAGGTACAATAAGACCTTAAAACCCTGATTCTTATTTCTTTGTGTAAAGATCATCTGAAGATTTTGTGCTTTAAAGGACTTCCTTATCTTTTCCGGCTAGTGCTAGCTAAATGCATGAAGGTTTTTGGTGAAATCATTGAACATTCACATTACTTCTTATTGATTCTTCTGTTGTTTCTAAATCTATTTTCTTTTAAGCATGTGGGATACTTCTTATTCTTTCATAAAGTGGATATATTTTAATCTGCTTTTATTAATCAATGCATTTGTTTTGTGCAGGTTAAGCATATGTTAATGCCTTACATGCCAATGTTAGTACCTCCAAAAAAGTGGAAAGGGTATGGCACATGGAATGGCTCATACTAGTATTTCATGTTGAAAAGCCTGCATTTGGTTAGATTTTTATGAGACTTAGCATGATTTATGATGCCATGTTTGAATCGTTCTCAAAGCCGGGGAGAGGTGGATATTGAGATATTAATATTATGTAAGATTATAAAGATATCCCAGGAGATATGATACAGATTTAATTTAGTTGATTTCACTCCTATTTATAACATTTCCTTTGTATTTATGTAGATAGCTTATTTCTAGGAGATTTGTTGTACATTATGTAATTAGGATCGTGTCTTTAGATTTTGCTCCACTCTTTC